GCTCTAAAACCTGAAACATTTTGAGCTCCAACAGGACGCCACAAGCACAAAATCCCACATGCAGCCAACCTCATGTGGTCTTCAGAGTGAAGACAGAGAGGGACCTGAAGTTCTGTCTGACACGACGCTCAGGCCATGTGGACAAGGTGTACAGGAAGCACCAGTGGATTTTGTGTTTGGACTTGGGTCCCCACTCCGGGACATCTTACCGTGCGTAGCAAATATTCAAAACCCAGATGCAAACACTTCTGGTCCTGAATGTTTCAGAAAAGGATACTCAAACTGCATTTGGGAGAAAAAGTTGAGTTTTAATGATGTTGCTATACTGCGTTTTAGTGATTTTGCTGTAGTGTAGAAGGACCTATCTCAGGCCTATAGACCACCCACAAACTCAGCAGTTACTAGAATCATTCATTAATTAAGTAGTGAAGGACTTAAAGGAGCAGAGTCCTGTTCTCCAGCTGGGGTCCTGTGGTGCCAGGGTCATGGCCAGGAGGCTGAGGTACTCAGGCCAGGGCACAGGTGCACAGGCTGAGCTGGCCTGGGTTTCGTGTTTCCCTGGAACTCATGAGCTGAAGCCCTGACCCCCACTGTAGAGGAGTGGCAGATGGGGCCCTTGGGAGGTGAGAGACTTCGCTGCAGTCGTGAGGGTGGGGATCTCGAGATGGGATTCGTGTCCTCATCCCCGTCAGAGCCAGGTTCAGTCTCTGTCACCTGAGGATGAAGCAGGAAGGCAGCAGAGCCCGAATCTGTGCCCACCCCAGGAGCTGAGATGGCTCCCACCTTGGTTCTAGACTTGAGCCCCAGAACTGTGAGAGGGGCAATTCTGTGCTGTCTGCCCAGAGGCCTTTGATATGGCAGCCTGAGCAGACTGGGGTGCAGTGGCCATTCACAGGGGCCTGGAGGAGCAGACGAAGCAGCTGAGCACCTATAGGGCTGACAGCGTGGGGAGAGGGATCCTGAGTGGAGAAGGAGGCATCGGCAAGGGCAGGAGGTGAGGGGCAGGGACCCCGGGGAGCCCCGCCAGCAGAGCTTCAGCAGCTGATGTTCAGCTCTTCTGCGTGGAGAGAGTGGGCTCTGTAATCCAGGCTGCATGGAGGTGGGCACTGGCCCTGGGCAGAGGCATGGGCTGCTGGCACACAGGCTCCCTCCGTGATCCCCAATTCCCTTCCAAACTCGGTAAAAAGCACAGCAGGCATGGCTTGCAGACTCACCCCTTCCTCCAGGGACAGATGTCCACTGCCCCCAGAACTGGTGTCCCAGCAAGAGGTGCCCACCATGCCAGGTTCCACCCCAAAGTCAGGGTGTAACTGATGCCCAGCACCTGAGATAGGGCTGGAGCAGCACAGATCACAGGCCGGGCCATCAGGGACCCTCCAGTGGGTTTTGCACTACTTCATTTGTATTTATGTCTTCACAGGGATTCACTCAAGCTATGTCATAGAACAGCGCATGGGAAAGTGGTTAAAAATACATCAAAGTCACATTGCTGTTACTGTCACTAATTTCTGCCCAAGGCCACTGGGCAGCCATCGAAGAGTCTCTGGACCATCCTGACTGTCCCTACGTCCCCCTCCTGCAGGCTCAGCCCAGTAGGAGGGGGCACAGGCTGTGGTTAAGACGCAATCTGCAGAGCTGTGGGGTGGTTGGTTTAACGTTTCAGGAAGAGCCCACATTACTCCCTGCCATCGCATGTGTCTCTCCATGAACGAAGCTATTTGTACCTGCAGCTCAGGTTCCCTGAAGCCATGCTGATGTGGCCTGCAAGATGGGAGGACCAAGCACAGCCGTTGTTCAGTGCCAGGTGGCGAAAGAGCTGGCCAGGGGGCGGGTGTGGGCTGGAGGCCAAGTGGAAAGAGAGGCTCACGGTCGGGTTCCTGCTGCAGCCTCCCTATGGCCACTCCAGGGCTCAGGACAGACACCGGGCAGTCATCCTTTTAAATTCCTGGCTCCTTTCCTGACTGGCCCTCCCCTTCCTTATTCTGTCTTCCTTCATCGGAGTGGCAGGTGGGAAGAACGGAGGAGGAATTGATGGGATTGAGAAGGCAAGAAAGTGACAGGGCAAAATTCAGCGCTCCACTTCCTCCTCACCTCAAAGGCTGCTGCATCTTTGTGTTTGGGGGTTGGGGCAGGGGGTCCTTGACATCTGCTTCCCATCAAAGCGTCTCTCCAGATATTGTGCAAAGTTCCACCGAGAAGTTCTTTTTTTTTTTATTTTTTTGAGAAGTTCTTATTCCCAACAATAATAAAATAGCAGGATGTGCGTAGTATTTTTTTTGAAAGTTTTGTGAGAATTTTCACATATTGTGTTTATTATTCAGTACACATTCACTGAGTGTTCATTTTGCTGGAATTCTTATAGATGTCATGGGGGTGTTATAAGATAGTGTTAGAGATATTAAACACACACAGAGAGCAATGCAGGCTGCAGCATAAGTGGCCATCCCTCTTCATAGATGGAAATCTTCCACTGTCTGTCACCATTGTCCCCTCCAGACCTTCAGCATGGAGGTGGAGGCGTCCGATCTTGCTCACTGTTCACATGCCAGTGCCCAGCTTAGGCCAGGCCCGGGACACATTTCTGCTGCCTTGGACATCATTTAAGGCCTCGATCTGTCCCCTACTATGACATTATCTCCTAACTGAGCTTGCTGGTACCAACCTCCCCTAGTGTCCTTCCTGCCCTAGGGGAAGATTTTTCAATCTGCAAATGAGGTAAGCCCTAGGGGATGGCTCCTGGTTTTCCCCTTTCAACCTGTCTCTCTGCAGGTTTTCTCATCCTTTTTCATTTCACGGCTTTAAATAGCAAGTGTAGGGTGACAACCCCCAAGTACAGAGGATCAGCCTTGCCTTTGGATATCTCCATTTGAGTATTTGAAGAGGGGACCTCAAAAATAACTCATTCAGAATGAAACCCTTTCTCTCAATCCCACGTTCTTTCCTAGTCTTCGGTAGGTGAGCCCCCACATACAGCCCTCGAGTCGATGGTGGGAGCCTGGGGGTCCCCGCGACTGTGTCCTTTCTCAGCATGATCCCTGCCTCCAGCTCTTCAGCAGCTCCACGTTTACAGCAGCTCCACTTGCCCCAGCCTCCAGCTCCACCACATGACACTGGCTGGTGACCCAGCACCTCCAGCCTTCCTGTTTCCACCATCTCTTTCTGACTGGCCCATAAGTCTCCCAAGACAACCAGGATAAACTTGAAATAGGTCAATCACTAAAACAAAGAAAGTATCCAAGAGTTTCCTGTTAAACTAAGAATAAGATGGGAAGCCCCAGTCCGGTGCAGAGACCCAGGGCGGGACACAAGTAGGTCTCAGCTTAGGGACTTTTCAACTCCATAGGACGCCACTCACCTCTTCCTGCACTAAGGCTCAACCTAGCCAGGCTGTTTCTCACCTGTCTGCACATCCTGCAGCTCTCCTCTTAGGGTGCCCCCAGCTTAGACAGATACGTTGATGGGGACACCTCCCTCCACCCCAGATCCCCATGGCTTCCTTTATTTCCTCCACCACAGACACCATAGGCCAACCTGCCCCACAGCATGCAGGTTTCCTAAGGCGGTGCTATGCTGTGCAACTGGCGTGCAACGCAGTAGCAGGCTCTACATAAATATTTGTTTTCTTAATAAGTCAAGCCTTAAAGTCGTTCTCTTCAGGACTGAGGATACAGTTCAGTTGGTAGAGTTGTAGAGAGATTGCCTAGCATGTGGGAGGCCATGGGTTCATGCCTAGCACTGCCAAAATAGTAATAATAATCATCATCTCTCCAAAGATGTGCCTGCAAGCAGCCTGGCATAATGGTAGAATCCAGGACGGGGATGGTATCTCTCTCCTAATTAAGTAAAAATCACATTTGTGCATCTAAGACTCATTCTGTGGAAAAATATTTTTGGGAGAAATAAGAAGCGCTGGTTTTCATCCTCTATTTAAATGCCATGGGTGTTGAAAAAAACCTACTTAAGCATCTCCTACTAATCACCCTTATGAATTACTTATTCTTAATTAAGAGCTTGATTATTAAATGATAAAATCTATCACTGCATGGCTAATATGTTACTCTCTGCTTTGACTCTGCTGGGTCTGACCAGGCAAGAAGATTTTCACTATGAGGGTTACTAAGTCTCAGGCCAGGAATTTATTCTGGTGAGAAGGCTTTCTCAGAACCTGCCTTGCGCATTTCAAGAGCAACTGGAGAGTCTAGCAGTAAAGAAGCTTGTTTATCCTTCCTTCCTCAACTTACTTGGGATGCTACACTTTCACACTGACGCCAGCATTGAATCAGAATCCTGATTTTAAGGGATTGTCATGTGATCCATGTGCGCAGGAAATCCCAGAAGCAATGCGAGACATGAGGGAGAAGTTGTCCCACTAGATTGTCCCTATTTTAGAGATGAGAAAACTGAGCTCCAGATAGGAGATGATGTGACCTGCCCAGTTCTGGGCAGCCCCATTTCTGCCTTCTATCATGATGCAAGTACATCAGATCCCAAGGATACAGCAGGAAGTACTAATTTCCTCCTCCTGCTTCTCCCTGTCCTTTGATACCAGGGATTATTCTCCATCCCCCATCTCCCCATTTTAAAATTATTCCTAAATTTTAAGTCGCTAAACTGCTCAGGCTGGGCTAGAACTTGCGATCCTCCTGCCTCTGCCTCCCAGCGTTTGGTGATTACAGACCTGTTCCACCACACCTTGTATATGCCCACTGACACCACACCTCGTCTACTTACATTTTCCCCTCTTATGTACTTACATTGATATGCAATCCAAATGGAAAACTGATATGAGTGATTTCAATACTTTAAGTGTGTGGATATAGCAAAAAGTTTTAGATATATTCTGCAACATGCCTTTTTCCCAAAGAATTTTACTTTTTGATACGTATGAAGGCTGATATCCATTTACTTAGCTTGTTTCTTTAAGAGCTCTTCCCTCCGGTGAAATCCCGCATTTTATTTAGCCACTTCCACACTGACAGACGTTAAAATTATCTCAGATACTGGGTTCTTGTAAACTGCGACTCACTGAGAGCCTTCCAGAGTTCTGCTGGCACATGCGCAGATGCGGCTCCGGGCGTCCTCACCCCCGAGGCGTGGCCTGGCAGTGGGCACAGGAGCGGATCTCAGGTACTGCCTCGTCTTGCTGTAAGCTGCCTCAGACCCTGCACGTTGCTATTTGTGGTGTTGAGTTCTCAACACTTGGAATTATCAAAGCCTGTAATCTTCGCTGCCAGCCTGACGTATGATAAATGATGGCTTAGTCTTGTTTAATTTGCATTTCCTGATTATTAGAGAAGTTGAGTAGCTTTTCATAAATATATGGACCGTTTGAATTTCCTTTCTTCTTATAACTTTCACTTATTTTCTTTTTCATGGCTTGACTTTTCAACATTAATTTGCACATAGGCTGTATCTATTTTGAATCAGGAAGCTGCTTTATGTGTTGTGAATGTCTTTTCTTCTAGTGTGAATTATATCTCGTATTCTGTCCACTGAGCTTTTCCTCGCAAGACTTTTTTTTAGGATTTTGATGTAATAGAATTTGCCATTTTCCCCTTAAGATTATTGTTTTATTGGGTTGTACATTTCTGTTTAAGAAAGCCATCTTAAATTCAAAGTCACAAAACATTCTCTTATCTTTCTTACACTTTTGAGCAGAAGTATAAATGACTGGTGTTTATTAATGATTGGTATTTATTCTTTCTTAAATGTATTTTTCTGTTTTCTAAGGAGGTTGCTACTTATATTGCATTGGTTTCTTTATTGTGATAGCGTTTTCCCCTAAGTCACACATTAAATAGTTATTGTTTCCTGTGCAGTATTAATTAGGTGCTTGATGCTAAGCATTGTAACTCGTTCCTCTTGGAGACACATTGTAATTTCTACCGCCCTCCAGCAGAAGTCAGCTTGCTCTCTTGAGCAGCTCAAGCCATTTTGAACTTCCACCATCTTAGTCTTGGACTCCTTCGTTTCTGTGTCTGATCCTTCATGGTAAAGAAGATGTGAATAATCATTGAGAACATTTGTCTTATAGATTTGACAATGCCACATATCATTCCCATCTGTATTCCATTGCTCATTCCTAGACACAAAGAAATAACATGTCATACTTCAAGTGACCCACTTATTTTTAAATTTATACGGTCTATTTTGTACATTTTACTCATCTATGTGGAATTGTAAATCAATATAAATCATTTCTCATATACTCTGAAGAATGCTACTGGACGTTTTAATTGGGCTGCATTATCATATCAGTTTATATATTAAGTAGGAGATGATTAACATCTTTTCAATACTGAATCTTCCATGTTCAATAGTATGATTTTGCTAGTGGTCACATGACTATGAATTTCCTCTGAACTACACTTTTAAGTGGTGAATTTTATAAAGTGGGCCAAAACACCCAGCTCATTTATTTTTGGTCTTTCTTGTTTCCTATAAAAGCTTTATCTGAATTTTCTTATGAATACTACTTTAGATGAATCCTTCCAAATTTTTCTCAATGAACAAATTCAAGCGTACCAAACATTTGTCATGCTAGAATGAAATTTGATGCTCCCATCGCCCAGGTTGAACAATTACCATGATTTTACAGTATTTACTTCACATAGTTTTCTTTGTTTATTTTGACTGAAATAATTTAAGGTGAATTCAAGACATATCATTTCACTTCTATATTAATTCAATAGGCATTTCTCAAAAACATGTATACTGTCTTAGGTAACCACTATGATACTTCAGTATAAAAATAATTGGATTAAATAAGGAATTGAATCTTGGTTTCTCCCTTTACATAAATGTGTTTAACCTTGTTATTGTGTTCAATATGTAGTTGGACAGTTTTCTCTTATTATCTTGCTATTAATTCCCCCCACCCCAGCCTTAGACATTTTCTTTCCCTTTAGTATAGAAGTCTTACATTAATTTTGTAAATTTTGCATGGGCACCCTTGGACATTACCACGCACATTTATGTTTTTGTTCTGAAAAAGCCTGAATCTATATTACCTTCTCTATGTAAAAAGAAGACAAAAGCTTTTATCTTCTTTTACTTTTCTTCTCTATCTTTTAACTCTGTTATTATTTCCTGCAGTAAGCTTTAACTTGTTCTCAAATGCAAAAAGGTGTATTTTAACAGTCACTGTTGGAATTCCCACTGCTGTGTGTGGTCAGCCCTGTGCATGTCTGCTCCCTCAGACACACAGCAAGGGTCAGGTATGTTCTCAAGCCTGATTACACCAGATGTTAGCAATGTGGTAAATTAAATATTATGCAAATTAGCATGAATGCAAAAACACAGAGAGGCATGTCTATGGAAGCCACCTTGGACGATTTGAAGATCATAATACAAATGCTATGTAATTTAACACAGGTAAGAAAAATAGAAAAGAAAAACATTTGTAAAATATTTGGAAGACCCTACACTCAGATTTCTTGCAAAATTCACGTCTCCATCTAATTAAAATAATTTAAAGTTACACAGAGGCTAACATTGAGTAGACTGACTGTATAAGTGTTGTGTCAGACTCCACTCCTCTCAGACATACACAGAAAAGTGAAGGAATGAATCAGTTTTACAGAAAAAAATTAATAAATATAAATTTATGGTACTGATACATCATTTGTATCTCCCATTTCACCTTTCAATCTCAAATGTATAGATAAAAGCATGTCTGATGTATTCTCCATCATTTTTTTTTTTTGTTACTGGGGATCGAACTTGGATCCTTGAGCTTGTGAGGCAGGTGGTGGAACCACTGAGCTAAATCCCCCGGCCCTATCATCTTTTTCTTAATGTTAAGAGTGGTCACTTATTACACATTTCTTTGTCCTCCATTATTTCTTTCTTTTACTGTATCTCATCTTTTGCTGTTTCTTTTCATCTGTGCTCTTTTGAGTTTACATCTGTTAGTTTTTCTTTTTTCGTACTGGGGATCGAACTCAGGACCTTGTGCTTTTGAGGCAGGCAGCAGAACCACTGAGCTAAATCCCCGGCCCTCTGTTAGTTTTTCTTTAAAAGTGAGATTCTTGGGGTGAAATTTTTCTAAGACTTTGTACATCGAGTAGATCTCTTCAAGCCACCAGCCTGCTTCACCTATGACATGTTTAAGTGTGGGGTTCTGGGTTCAAAGCAACTTTCTTAGTGCTTTGTAAATAATATCCTCATAACCCATGGCTTCCAGCACTGTAAATGGAAAAATCTGATAAAAATTTAACTATCATTACTTTTTTTGGAAATTTTAACTTTCTTAACTTGTAACTATTCCAAGTTATTTTTCTTCCATGATAGCCTGAAACTTCCATATATATTCGTATACACATAAATTGTTAAAATCCCTCTGGTCACTCACTAAGTATTTCAACCTTGACTTTCATTTGGTGGTTGTTTTTTAACTATTCAGTTCATCTTTCTCTTTATTTTCTCTCTTCCCTCTGTCTAGAATTTCTTTTATGTAAGATTTACAGTTTCTGGACTACTTATGTTTTCTTTCATAGTTTCCTTTTCTTTACCCATTTAGGTTGCATTTTGGATATTTTTCTCAGCTTTGTCTCACACTTAACTCTTTCACACTTTTTATCCAAATACTTGTTCAACACATCCATAAGCGTAGTTTTGCACTACTTATCTTTTCACTATGAAGAACTCTAGTTGGTTCTCCTCTGGAAATGTTCTTGCTTTTTCTTTTCTTTTTTTATTCTTCTTTTTTCCTTTTTGGGGCCTCACATATGCTAATGTTAGGTAAGTACTCTACCACTGAGCTACATTCCCAGACCCTGCTCTTGCTTCTTGACATTGTCTTCTTTTTTTACAGTTACTATCTTCCCCATTTCTCTCTGTTAGAATCTACTTGTTTCGTATGTTTATTATAACTTTAGTCATCCATGGGTGCCTCTGTATTCTCAGGTGTGAAATCATGATACTCACCTCTTCCAGATAATTAAGGTCTGGTGTTTACTTTATGCCAGGGCAGAGTGGCCAAAAGTAATGCTTGGTTGACTCGAGATTTCACAGCACACAGAGATTTCAGTGGTAAAGCTGGAAGAGTCTTCCAGTTCCAGTGTGAGCACTAATCATGTGCATGACAAACCCTGATCACCACTTGGCTTCCTGTCCTGACCCAGGGTTTCTGATTATTCTGCCTTAGCCTGGAATTTTGTTCCAATTCCTTGGTGTCTGGAACTCATCTTGTCCCTTGATTGACAACCCATCTTGGCATCTTCTTTGGCCCACTTAGAAATTCCTTTGGGTAAGGCTGTGATTTGCCTCTTAATTGCAAATATCATGATCGCTTTACAAGACACCTTCTCAATCCTCATGCCGGGGCCTCGTCTTCATTTCCTGGTCAGCCTGCTTCAGGGGGAGGAGCAGTGGCAGATGTAAGCTCTAAATTCCTTGCAAATGGTCTGTATTATTCTTTCTATCAGTGCAGCTACTATGAACGCATGCTAAGAATTCACAGACAGGGGCATCATTGGGCTCAAAACACCAAGTACACATTTCCATGTGACAGGGCCTAGGCGTCCATGGAATGTGCTGGTCAAAGTTGAATACTCACATTCTGGTAATGTCTCTTACAAATTACTTTTCTAATTAAGTGCCTGCTTATTAAAGATGCAATCTGTCACAGCATGGATGATACCCAACTACATTCCTGTCTCTTTTTCACTTCGTCCAGATGTTGTTTACCAAGATGTGTTACCTCAAAAATTGACTTAGCCACCTCATCCTCAAAGTCCTCTAGCCACTGATGGCTGCTCAGTGAAAAACTGAGTGTAGGAAAACTTTTGGGGACCATGTCACAATGACTCACTTGTTTTTCTAGAGGGGAATGAGCCAATTGCTGTTAATCTGTAGCCCTAGAAGTGTTTCTCTTTACATCACCTGGGTTATCTGTTGTCTATTGGACAAAGGCAAATGAGAAACTGCTGGCCTTTGAGCTAAAATGCTCTCCATCCCTGCACACAAAAGCCAGGATGTACAGTAATTGTCTCTAGAAATGTTCAAGCTATGAGGAACAGGGTAATAACTATAACTTTATATGGAATGGGCCCACATAACTCATTGTGGAGTCTTAGTAGGTCTAAGAAGTCTAAAAACCAAAAGTAATTAAAAGGATTTCTGCT